CGGCTCCCCGCATAGGGCTGCCCCGGCGCGGCGGCGTGCCTGGGTGCAGGATGGGAAGCCAGCCACTGCCTTCCTCCCCGCTGGGTTAGGTTGCGTAGGGCTTTTTTCTTCTTTTTCCCTCCTTTCTCTCGTTTTCCCCCCTTCTCTTGTCTCCCCCCTTTCGCTCTCTTGTCTCAGCCATTGCCACTTTGAGGCAGTGTTTAGGAAGGGCAAAGTCCAGAAAGGCGATTGGTGGCTTTTCTTAGACAGTGATACATAGCGCTATGCATAATTCTGCAGCATTTAGTTTTTTACAACTCCCAGTGCTGCTTTTGGTTGCTCTTTATGGCATCGTCATGCAGAGATGATGAAGTTACTTTTCTAAGTCTTAGTTATCAGCAGCAATTCCAATAATATTTTGGTAACTCTTCCTCATATAAAATTAAACCTTCCTTCTATAAGATCATATAAATTGAACTCTTTGTTTTAGAGCTGTATTGAGGGGATGATCTCATTTTAATTTTAGAGGTGCATTGTGATAACTGTGCATAAATTTCTGTTCCTAGTTAAAATATCCTTTCTAGTTTCTGAAACAAGTTTGGCAACTTTCTGTTCCTGTAGGAGGACAAAGAAAGGGAAATATCTCCTCTTGATTCTGTTGCTTGGTCAATCTCATAATTTAAATTTGTAACTTCAACTCTCCCTGACTCAGTTTTTTGAATGCTAAATTGGAAATGGCCTGGAAACCTATAACCTGGCAACATTGCAAAGCCTAATTTGAGACCTTAATTAGAAAAGTTGTCTGAGCATCACGACTGCTCAGAAACTTGTCTTGGCAAGTAGCTATCTGAAGCGAAAATCATAAATTTTTCACTTAATCCTGAATGACAGTATCTTTTTGAAACAATTTTTTAGTAAGTCAGTCAAGTTTGTGTTCGAGCACTGACTTCAGTTACTGTTTATCACAAATATTTATAAGTTGCTTACTATAATGCTGTTTTCATTTACATATACTGCTGTTTCACAAATAATAAAACGTATTTATAACATTGATACAAGCAACATTATTCATAAAGGTCAGATAAGTGTGGCACAGGATGTAGGACTGTAGAACATACATGTCCTCCAAGTAGTTGTATTTAGTGGGAAAGATGGAGCAGAGTAAGTGAAATTAACTGCCAGTTCTTTGTTTTGTATCTGAAGGAAGGACAGTCAGGCTTAATAGCAGCACCAAGGCTGCAGTTCAAGTTGCTTATGAACCAGAATAAGAATACCACCTCGTAAATGAAGTGATTTCAAGCATTTGTTCAAAATAACAGAAAAGGTTTGTACCTTGCTAAAATCAGTCTGTATGCAGTCAAGTGCCAAAGACCTAGGCAAGAATCAGAGGACTGTGGATGGATGGAGTTAAGGGTTACTGTGGTGTGGATTTTCTTTTTCCTGTGTTATCTAAGGTTAGAAAAGGAGTACATAATCTAATCATAAAAATCTACGTATCTAAGTTTCAGACTTAGGTGATACCGAACGTAACATAAAATCATCCATGTGGATCCATCTCACCTGACAGTGTCTAAAATTAACCAATAGGGAGTAGCATTTAAAAGAAGCGTGTAATGAATCTTCTTCAGAATATTCTCCCAGACTGTGACAGGCATCTGGGGGACATCCTGAGCTGATGGTAACGTGTTTGGATTTTCCTTTTACATATTTGTCCAGTTGCTTTTGTAACACGTGAACTGAATGAAGTCTCTTGCGAGTCCCAATTGCTGGTTGCTCTAGTGCTACTAGACAGGGTTCTACTAAAATTCTTTTCCTGTTTGTTACTTTTGTAGTTTTTGCTCTGCTCATTTATATTTTCCTATTTCACGGAAATTTTCCTGTGTGTTAAAAGGAAGTCAGACCAAAACCTTATTCCAGAGTATAAAAGCCAGTCTTGATGGATATGTTCATGTTGTAACCATGCAATCTCCTGTCATAAATGTGACTAGTTGCACTTTTTCCTTGTGCTCCTTTAAGCAAAGCAAATCGTCTGTGAGATTGAAAGAAGACATGAAAAAGATAGCTGCGCTTTCACTGACCAAGCAGAGGGATGCAACCTGTCCAAAGGTGTTTGGCGTGAGTCTTCTGGAACTCCAGCAGCAGGGACTGAGCAAAAACGGCATCCCAATAGTTGTGTGGAATGTAGTCGAGTACCTGACCCAACATGGTAAGCTTAATGCAGTCACTTTTGCTTAGTAGCACTGTTTATGTAAGGCTCTTCAAAGGGAGAGATCCCAGCTTATTTGAGGTACAGAGGCTGAACAAAGTTGTAGCACTAACCACATGCAGAGAATATTATTGTATGTGGTTTGTTTCTTTTTTTTTCCTGCCTTGATGCTGAAGTTACCATTTAATAGGATGTTTATAAAAGTAACTTAATGTGTTATGAAGCAACATATTTTCATAAGTAAGCTGTTCAGTTAAGGTATGGAATGTATTTTTTGTGTCATTTTCTAGTTGCAAAACATTAGACATTGACACAGTTTCTGATGGTTAGGAGATATTTATATCTGTAGGTAGTCACGTGGGTACACACGCCCATCAGAGTACAGTCCTGAGTTAGGAATGCATGTTCTTACAGGTTTTCAGTAAGATTACAGTTATTAATCCAGTCTGGGAGGTAGGTTTCCAATTCTTAGCTCCTTTTTTGCATTCATGTAATAAGCTTCATTCCCTCTTGATGAAATGCATCTTTTTAAAGAAATCTAGAGCACTATGGGTGCACAACTGTACCCTATGGCAGTTGTTAAGCTATGGAAAAAAATTTTGAAGAGGTAGTTTCTTCTTAAGAAGCTGCATCTGTTTTTACCCTAAGGTTTTTCTTCAGGCTACTCAGTAATGATAATCCAATTGCAGAGTCTTAGATTCCATGTCTGTGTCTTAGCAGAACTTAGAAGCTGCTAAATGCAAGCATGGCTTGAAAGTTAGCTTGGATTAAGGTACAGTGTAAACCTAAAACGTGATCCTGCCTTTTCCCTTATCAGTCCTGTGTGAACGCTTACTCCACAGCAAGAGCATCTTTGGTTTACTCCAACTCACTTTCAGAGTGGTCTGCTAGAACAGTAAAAGAGCAAGGATGGGAAAAATTTCTGCATCGTTTAGGTTTAATCAAAGCCAGAAACTGGCAAACACTTCTGACTGCAAGCTGTGGGCTGTGCACTGTGTTCCCTAAAAAGATCTGAATCCCAAGCAACCGTATCCCAAATATGAACTGAACAAGCCAAGTCCTCTGCTGTTCTGCAAGATTAGCTGGGCTTCTAAATGCCAAGGTGATTATCCAGCTCTGATAAAGATGTAATCCAGTCTCTTTCTTGTGCAAGCAAGACCTCAAAGATACTCTCTTACATGAGACGTTCTTGAAACAGGCACTCTGTGCTTACCTAGGGTTTAGCCTCTGAATTAATGGTGAAGTTAATTGGCAGAACGTTTCTAACAGAGGCCCAGGTATGAATTCAAACTATTTGGAGGCACGATTTTTTTTTTGTGAAGTGTGAATACTGACTTTTTTCAGCAGTATCTTAAAATTCCTATTCTGCAAAGATGTAGCTAGACCCTGAAGGCTTTTTTTTTTGATTTTTGTTTTTTGCCAGACCATTTCAGGCCCTCCCTTCTTGCTCATGAAGAACTGACTATTTGAAAAACCTGAGTTGAGTATTAGTCAGCTACATCCTTGAACTAAGCGTCTAGGAAGCTGCCAACTTTTCTCATTTATGGTTGAAGACAAATTTTCCTGTACTGAATTTAGCTGTATCCCATTACTTTCTCTAGTGTGTTCAAGCCCCTCTTATTTCCATAAATGACTACTTGGGGAAGGGCAAGGAAGTCTTACCTATGTGGGAAATATGTTCTTTGCCCAACTCATGCTTCGTGAATTAAAATCATTACTGAGATGCAGTGTTTTCTATCACCCTGCAGATGGCAGTACAGCATGTCACATACAAATGATTTTGTGGTGAGAGGGCACGAATACAAACAAGCAAAGGTCTGCTGTAAGCAGTATCTTGAAAGTTTATATGTTTTTTCTTTTACTACATCAGTTTATCTAGTCCAGTAAAAAATGTTATTTCTTCCTACAAACTCTACTGCTTCAGTATTGATTCCTTGGACCAGAAGTGTTCTCTCAAGCTGCTGTTTAGTGACAGTCACTCTGATCTAATGAAAACCATACATTGTATGTTTTGACTCTTTTAATATTATGATTCTAAAGAAGAATAAGCAAGTATATAAACATAGTATTTAAAAAGGCAGATTTTTTTGGTTATGAAAGGGTTTTAAAGGGTTTTGATTTAATGACTTGGGCTTTATGTAGTTGTTTTACTGAAGCTCATGAATCTCATCACATACTTAGAAAGTGAGGTTTAATACTGTGTGATTCATCTGGTTTCCTTTTGTGGAAATCTCCCTCTTATTGCTTCTCCTTCACTGGGTGTGGGGTGTCTGGCCTGAAGTGATTGGTATTTTTTCTTTCTCATTGTGAAATAGTATGGACTTCGTGCTGTTCAAAAAATGCATTTGCTCAATGAGATTTTCTGCTACAGTTGGTTATACAAATAGTGAAGTTATAGCGCTCCTTATGAAGTTACTGCTGCAGTCAGTGTGTATTCAAATGTTTTTGCCTCGTGAAGGTCATAGGTAAGAAACTGTTACCCTAAAATGCAAAGTAGCAAGTATTCACTCGGGTGAATAGTGTTACTCCTTGGCAAAGTCCCAGTGAAGGTAATGAGACTGTTTACAAAGGTGAAGCTAGGCAACTGTTTTGTGGAACCTAGCTCCTTTTACGTTGAAATGTACCAACGCAAAATACTGATTTCTGCATGGTGCTAGGTATTTTGTAGGTTACAGCAATGTCACTGAGCTTTATGGATTCTTACAGGATCATACATCTCAAGATCTGATAGTTAATATCTGTTAATTATTACAATGCACTTATGTGACCAGTGGGGTTTCTGGGGGTAAAATAGGTGGGTTTTTTAACTGTATTGTATTAATAATATCCACTGTCTTATTAATAATACACTGATGTGTGTAATTCACACCAGAGTATCTGTTTCATCCTATCAGGATGTGTTACTCCAGAAGAATCTCGTATGTAATATATAATTACAGGTATGACCCAGGAAGGCCTTTTCAGGGTAAATGGGAGTGTGAAAATGGTGGAACAGTTGCGACTGCGGTATGAACGTGGAGAAGAAGTGGAACTTGTTAAAGATGGCGACATATACTCAGCAGCTAGTCTGCTGAAATTATTTTTGAGAGAGTTGCCGGATGGGATTATCACCTCTGCCTTACATCCCAGGTTTATTCGGCTTTACCAGGGTAAGTAAGAGGTAAAGATCTCCATCCTTCCATGTACCTTCTTTCTGGAAAACTGTATGCAGAGAGAGCATAACTCAAAAGAACAGTACTTTCTGTGTCTTAATTTGCTCGTTTTGTTCTCCTTTTCCGTTAACATTAGCTCTCATATTCTCCCAGAACGCTCACAGATACGCAATTCTGACAATCTTTGTAGAAATCCCGATGGTGTTACGAGAGACAGAAAATTATTTTTTGTGCTTGGTAAAGTCTGGCCTGTATAGGCTTTTCTGATCCGTTTATCTGCCAAATGCAAACTGAAGTGATAAGTTGTTTTCTTTGAGCGAGCGTGTAGACCATAACTGCAGTCTCTTCGGGATACAGATTCACTTCTGTTTTGCTAGGGCAACTTCTGGCAGTTTCATTCTAGCAGACTCTGAAAAAGTCTGTTGTTAGAAAAATATATATTATTTTATATAAATATATATATCTATACAATCAACTATTATAATAACTCAAATTGAATACACTTTGGGCCCAAAGCATATTTTGTCTAAATGTCCATTTAGTGTGAAGTGATTGCCCATCAAAATGAGACATTTTGCAAGTAACAGCTGCCCCTCCCCACCTCTCACCCCCTCAAGTGATGGATCTCTTTAAGAAGGAACATGGTTTAGAAAGTTGAGCCACTGCAACTTGCACACCTGTCTGTCAAATGATTTGTTGATCTAATCCAGCTATGTTAGGCAGTCCGTATTGTTATGCAGAACGTGTGATAATTGGCCCTGTTCCTCAACCGTAATTTTTGGTGGCAGCTCTTTTTCTCTTGTTGCTGGAGGCTGATATCTCTTGCTGTCCTTCTAAGAAGAGGCAAAGTGAGTAAGTGTTGCTAGAGATGTCCTCTTCACTGTAAAGCAGGCAAATGTGATGCATGTAGAGGAGGAATGTGCAGTGTGACACACATCCCCAGTGGAACATGTGCAAAGTTCTTAGGCTCTTGTCCCTTTTCCTCTCTGCCATTTCTCTTGCCTGCAGGGAAGGTGGAATGTAGCTGTTGCCTTGAGGAGGGAGAACACAGCCCTGACTTTCTCTTCTTCCTTTCCTTCCTTTCCTGTGTGGGGCTGTACAGTCTCTTGAAGGTGGGCTGGGGAGGCGTTCTGTGCCTTCCCTTGAGTGCAGGTGTTGTAGCTATAACAAGGCCTTGTATGGGCTGTGTAAAATCCCTTTCTCGTTTAGCCAAGTTGTTTGAGGTCCAAGGACAGGATAGTAGAAGTGTTGGGTAGGAAGGTGCTGTTGTTCCAGAAAGTCCCTTTTTTCTAGTCATGGTTGCACTTTGTCTGTTTTTATTTATTTATTTATTTTCTTTATTTCATCGGATCTGACTCATGAGCTATATTTAGTTAACTACTCATGAGCTGTATTTAGTTAACTATGTTCTTAAGTCAATGTTTAAGTGAAAATTTTTCCTTTAAGTCGCACCTTCCCTTTTCTCTGTCCCTCTCCCCACAAAGGGCATGTTGGTGTGTTTGCACCAGCAAGTACTGATGTGCTTCATGAACAGTGCTGGCTTGTTTGTGGAAAGCATCGTTCATTCCTGGTAATCTTAATCTATTTCCCGTAGGAAATTGAGAGTTCCTCCAGTGCTTTCTATGGACATGAAATGTGTATCCTTACTTAGCAGATTTACCTACTAAGCTTTCCCATTTACAAAAAATTGTGCAACTTACAAACTCTGTTCCACAAAACACAGTATAACTGAGACAATGCAGACATGTCTTTACATTAACTTTGTCTGTATTGCACAATGAGTTCTAATAATAGTCCCATTACAATTTGGATTAGGAAGAAAAAATCTTGTTTGAAAAATGCTAGACTGATTGTTGTGGCAAAGGGGAGGCTTCTAGTAAAATTTGAAGAAACCTGAAGGTTTCTTTTTTTCCCAAGCCATAAACAATATAGCATAAATAAGTTGCTCTGAAAGGCACTGATGGCTTTCACGGGGCTCAGATTAGCTTGAGTGGTAGATGGGCCTATGTTTACGGTTAAATGATCAACGAGCTATGCAGGATTAGAGGAATTATCTATTCACTTATCAAAGTATGCACAAGGGTATCTATTGCAAAATGGTACCCAACAGCGAACGTGCCTGAGTGTTTTTTGCAAACTACAAAGAATGTAAGTCAAGCTGTTCCTGAGCCAACAGGTTATTAAAAAATAACCTTGAATCTAGAGTCACTTCACTGCATGTCTACAGTGAAGGCTGTTCCAAGCTCTGTTATAACCACTGTATTCCCTTTGGTTGAAGCTTTGCATGGGAAATGGTGTTTTTGTGATTGTATTGGAATTCCTTCAGAAAGTTTTCAGGGATTAGTACCAACCAACCGAAATCTTGGTCTGAAAATAATGCAAAACTATTTCTTATAAAAATTGTTAGTGAGTGATTCCCCTAGTTAGAAATAGCTGGACTGAACAATTAAAAATTTATCTGTAGATGTAATGCTTTTTAACTCAAGGTGTGGTCTTTATTACCAAACCAGAAAATAAATAATCCCCTCTTTTATTAAAAAGAGAAAGCCTGATTCATTGGTACTTCGTGAAGTCCGTTCAGCTGGCTTGGTATGCTGTCTGAAGCCTATGCAACAACATCTGAAACAAGCTCTGCCCACTGTCCCCAAATCCTGGTGTGTTGCTGTTTATATAAACATCCAGAACAACTCCCAAACTAAGCAGATCCAGAAAACATCACATAGCATATCCTGAAGGCATTTTGGTGTGTCCTGATGTTTTCTCTCTGTCCTCAGAGAAAGGTAGTGACAGTGGGAGTTGAGAGGGGCCGCCTTCGGTAGATGATGTCGATCAGAGATGTGCGTAGAGAACGCAGGCAAGGGACGTGCTGATTGTGGTTTCTCTGTCAGCTGCTCTCTGCAAAGCACCTGACAAACATCAGTGCTGCTCCCTGTAGGGAGTCCTGGGGGGAAAACTGTCCATCACAGTCTGTCCTGTGACAGAGACTTTGCATGGTTAGGCACAGTTCCCTGCTCCAGCAGCATGGGGCCCTGCTCACAGACCTGGATGACTGAAAGATACTTCTCTTGAGAAACCTCAGTTTTATGTGAGCTGCTGATCACATAAAACAGTCCCTGTTTGTACTTATTTATTCCTTCTGGCTTTTCACTGCTTATCTTTTGTATTGGGATCACTGCCTCTTAAGACTTTTGTACATACTAGGATTGAGCTCTGTATGCACAGCTCTTACTCCCTTTCACGGTTCACTTGCTTTTAGCAAGACAAGTTGTTATTGTACTTTTCCTTTTTCGCATACAGAAAGCTTTTTCCTTAGGTAAATCTCTCTCTGCCCCTCTGCCCCTCCCCATTCCTTCCTCCAGCAGGGGTACAGCAAAACACAAGCGTCTGTCTTTATTTGGCATTCACTCTAGTTAAATTGAATGCTGTCTGATCACTTTGGCCTCTTGATGTTACTCCATTGTAGAGAGCTTATATTTTTGAGTATGCAGCAGCTAGATGTGAGTTCTGTCTCACGTATTTCGCAAGGTGCCAGTGAATGGCCCGGCTAGTTTGAAGGAGAGGTATGGGAGTTGGTAGAAGGGGGAGGGGTTCCCTTTTGGATCAGCGGGTCAGTTTAGGGAATGCTAGGTAGCCAGTGCTGTTTGAATTACATGGATGGGCAGAACCAAAAATACAGGTTGTGTTGGGGGATTTTAGGGGTCAAGCTTCAACCTGAGCAGTGGGTGTGAAAATGAGTAAATGGGACCTGTTACCATGATAATTGCAGCAGTGCAGCAAATCGGACTGAGTAATTGTCTGTGGTACTACAGGCTACTGTGACATGGTTTTCCCTTTTTCCTTTGGCTTTTATTATCACTTTGATGTTATCACAAGTAGCTCCAAACTAGGAGAACAGCTTCTGTTTTTCACAGGATCTTCTTCTCTGGGACAGGGTCATGTCCTAAGCAGATCACTACCTGGCGGAGAACTGGAGTCTACTTCCCATAGATTGCGGAGGATGAAGGAAAGGCTTTTGACTCCTCCAGCAGCCCACTGGGTGCATTGGTGACTATAATATCAATCTGTTGCCTGCATGCTGAAGATTAACTTCTTAGGGCTCATTGATAGCTACAGACAGATGCATGCTCTTCTGTTCCGCCTTTCAAGCTGGCAGTATGCAAGGCAGCTGAAAGCTATGTGGACATGATAGCATGGCACTGAACCCAAGCCTCTCTTCCTCGTCTGACAGCGGAGATAATTAACTAAGGCATGGCACCATGCTAATATGGTTTCAGTGCTTCCAGGCAGGAGTTATTTGGGGTCAGACCATTTGAGACATGAGCAAAGCCAATACACACACCTGTCTGTGGGCGTCCATACCTTTAGTGATGTTCACACAGCATGCTGTGTAGGGGGAAGGAGTAGTGTGAAAAGGGATTGAATTGGGGAATTGGATAGCGTCTGTAGCATGTCAGAGAAACCCAATATGTACGGAAATAGGCTGCACCATTGGAAGATATGTTCCTCTTGTTGTGCTCTGTGGGTGGATACTGCAATTAAATGAGACTAAAAACACCTTTGCAAGCCTGTCTGAAGACCTGCCTCCTACACTGTTGAGGCTCCTGTTTCTAGTGAATTAAAATTTTTGTCTTCTCCTTTTGCTCTGAAAGTGCCTGCCCTTTTCAGTTATCTCCTTGACTTTTCCTGTCCCTACCTCAGCTCTGAGGTGCTGCGCTGCTCTTGCCTCCTTCCTTGGCGTGCTGCTGGTCACCCTGTGTTCTGCATCCTCCAGCTGGTGAGTCTAGACATGGCCTGAGGCTGCCTGTTTTCTTTGAAGGAATTTCCCCCTTCCTCAGCCCAGAACACACTGTCTCATCTCCTGCTTCAAGCCCTTCCTTGTCGCTCATCTAGCAGGGCTTCTTTTGCTGATTTCTGCTCGGGTGCCGTCTTTCTAATGTGGCTGCTGTCAGGCTTCCAAAATAAAAAAGTGAGTGCTTTAACTCTGCCTTGAGAGCAACTTTCCCTTTCCCTCAACCTTCACTCTTCTGTTACCCCTTTCTTCTTTCTGCCTTATTGGGCAAGACTTTCAAAAAAAAAAAAAAAAAGCTCCATGTACTGAGTAAAATACTGTGTCTTGGTAGCTAAGTGTATTTGGAAAACTGACTTAAATATAGGTTCCCGAATTGGAGTAGAATGCCTTTGAAAATCTGGCACTGTGGTGTTTTCATTACGTTGACACGCTCATTTGTCTCATCTGTCAAGATGCTGCAGAGACTAAATCATGTGCTTAACTTCATGCCACCCTCTTTAATCTTCCTTGATATATAAGACTACACATGGTAGTCCTGACTTCCACGGGACAGTTTGTACCACACAAAATTTGGCATATACATAAGCTCAGGGCTTTGATACACTCAATGCTTGTCTTTATGATATCATCAGCAGCATTGGTGCTCTAATGTGTCTCTGATAGTCAGTACCAGCTGAGTAATCCTCAGTGATTGACTTAACCGAATAGAAAAATTGTCTAGCAGGTGGACAGAAGAATGAGAATTGCTCCAAGCAATTGGTTGTCTTGACTCAAGGGTATTTATGCTCCCTTGTAAGTTAAGAGAGCTGTTACACCTTAAGTAATATGGTCATGGATAGCTAAGGTACATTTGCCCTGATAAATGTACAGAGTGCATGGAGTGTTGTATGCATGTTACTTTTCTCTAAATTTCTTATGAATCATAATTCGTAATTGTAAAAATAAAGCTGAAGTCAGTGGAAAAAAGTGTCAGCAGCAGGAAAATTCAGAAACGAGTTTTGTTCTTTAGAATTGTATTTGGGGGAAGGTTTGACTTCATTCTCTTGCCTTTCAGCTAGAGAAAGGGGGAGAGAAGACGACCATGTTTTCTTGTTCCCCTTTCAGCAGAACAAGGAATCTCAGAGCTCAGTAAATAGGGTTTTCTGCTTCATGTTATTCAGTGGCTCTGGGCCCTTCAATTGTGTTAATTTCTGAAGATCTTATGTTCTGATACCTGTCTCTATTCTTAAAAGTACTAGAAACAAAGGCAGAACACACCTAATACTGATAGAATGCTGAGTAAGAAGCAAAGATTTGGTTGTGTCCAGCAATAAGCATCTTTTATATTGATCCACACCACATAATACATTATGCTTAATGAACAGGGGCATCCAATTCCTTAAATATAACTGATGCCATGAGACCAATAGCTTTATTTGTATACAGAGCGCAAATCTGTGTTCAGAATGTCTAATGGAAATTGTTAGCATCTTGGTAGTTCTGAAGTGTTGGAAAATCGTTCAGTAAATGGAAAAGTACCTGGCAATCTAAAGCCCCTGTGGGAGGCTCAGAGAAGCAGTAGCTCTCTAGGGCATTCCCTAATTAGGTGATGGGATGATGGTGATGGCAGAGATGTGTCCTTTTCTGAGTAATGACTTTGGCTTTCCTGATCATAACTGCAAGCAATTTATAGCAGAAAAGAGTGTGTGCTAGTTTGTTTGTTATCTAAAGAGAAGTGTGTTAGGAAGTGAATTTTTAATATTCTGGCTCTGTGGAAATTGGTCGTGTTTTTGTCTTTAAGCTTCGTGAAAAGGTAATCAAGTCAGAGACTGTCGCATCCATTTTGATCAGTTCAGATGCAAATCCAATTAAATTCTTTATTGTTATCCCATTTCATACAGCCTTCTGGAAGAGTCATGAAATTTTGCTGCAGAAATAATAAATCGAATTTCTTACTGTTAGCAAGCTGATTCATAGCAGTGAAATCATGATTTTTTTTTCCTGTGTAACTCAAAAAAAAAAAATACTTGCCATAAGCAAGTATTCTTTCTCATATTCTTAATGCATATTTGGTATTTCCTTTTTCTGAAGGAGCTAACGTTTGGCCGTAGAAGAAAACAATATAATTAGTTAGTTTAAGTGTTTGGTCCTGTAATTTGGCTGGCATTTATATTTTAGCCTGCTGTCATGGAATAAATTGTATTAGCCCTGTGGTACCAAAAAAGAAATAGATAAAAATGAATTCTTCAGTTAAAATCCCAGAAATAAAATTGTATGAAGTGACAAATACACACATACAAAACTCATTTGCTTCCCAAACTATATGCAGGATAAATCCTTTTTATTAGCCACAAAAGTGTCTGACTGTAAAATAGAAATCATATTGCAACTTACTGATTGATTTCTCAGAAGTAGCTCTCAGATATTTCTACCCAGGCTGCTAATTTACATAGCTAACTACTTATCAGAGGCCCTACCCCTGGAATACTATACAATCCAGCCATCTAAGATTTCTGGGAAATGAAGAGAAGAAATGAAGATGAAACTTTTGAAGTTTACCTTAAACACATCTTACACTATATTCACAGCTTTTTTCAAGCAAAAATTTTGAGGAAATGAAAAATATCACTTTCTCCAAAGTATTTGTGCCTGACACACAGGGCAGGCACACAGTTTTCCCCCAGCCCGGTCTTCTACTCTGCGTGCTGGCAACAGGATGTACAGCAGAGGTAGTAGCTAGTTGTTGAACTGCTTCAGGTGCAGCCTGTTTTATTGTGTCTCCTGCCTGAAAAGAAGTCTCCAAGCCCGAGCAAGGTTTGGTCTTTTGACTGAACACTGGGTGAATCCCCTTGCTGAGGATCATAATGTCCTCTGAACTAAAGAATTCTTCATTGCCCTGAGTGTGTAGAGGAGTTGTATATTCTCATGGTAAGTCAGCAGCTACTTTGGGACAGGGCAGTCTCTTGCAGAGAAGATAGAAGGTTAGCATTTAATGTGAGTTCACTTTGGCTTTGTGGAGGAAAGACATCTCTTCAAAACCACTAGACCTGTTGTTAAAGTCCATCTCTACAGAAAAAGCAGTTACCCAGCAACAGTTTTACAGTTAACAGTTTAAATGTTAAAACAATCAGTCTGTAAAGCTGGTAACTTTTTCAAAAAAAAAAAAGAAAGAAAGAAAGAAAGAAACTGGAAATGCACAGCTGCGCTCCTGTGGATAGATATTGCTTATAATAGAGCAGTGGGGAAAACCTTTACTCTCAGCGGTCTTCTGTCTGAAAGTGCAATTACACAAAAACCCTAAAGCTTTGCAATTGTGGGAGTTTCAGAGAACTTTCATTTTGATGGGGAGAGGAAATAAGTATTTCCAAGCCTTAATGCTTCCTGTTTTAGCATAAGGAGCGGGGTTTTTTCCCCAAAAAACTTGGATGTTTTTATTCAGATTTAAATCTAAGGTTTTCATGGGTCCAAAATATTTTTTGGATTTTTTTTAAGAAGGTGGAGGAGGGGAGCAAAAAATTTTGCAATTTTTGGGTTGAATTACAAAAGCAGAATAAAATTAAGTAGAAACTATGTGTGATGCATACATGAGCCTTAGAAGACTGTATAGTATTTCCCTAACTTTAGGCTTAAGTTTGGCTCCTTACAATGTGTAACGCTTCCCTGAATAGCCCTTTTGCCTTAAGCAACACTTCTCACATAAGATTTAGTATGAGTTCAGGTATGGAGTTGTCGCTGTGAGGAAAGCTCTTTGTGAAGCATCCTCAGCAGATACCTCAGCCCTATATTGCAACAACATCTGCGTTTCAGGAGCCTCCTTGTGTTACTGTTCTTTTTTCTTTTTGGAGACCTTCATGGGAGGGGAAGCAGAAAAGCGGAGTATGAGACGGGGCTTGGGAAGTAGAGACAGCATCTGGAAGAATGCAGGAGGAGGCATCCAGGAGGAGGATGCAGGCAGTAGGAGAGCTGGTAGAGCTGGAGTTACAACAAATGTAGCAGTGTACTGGATAGGAATGAATGTGCTCTAATGCTGCTAGCTGTGACCACTGCTGCTCCTGTTGAGGAAAAGCAGTTATAACGTAAAGGTGAGCATAAAACAGTGACAAAAGTTGCCAAGGTGAGCCTTGGGAGAAAAATACCGTTTTCATGGGGAAAGTTGAGGGGTTTGGAGGATCCTTATCTTTGAACAGAACTAGAGTAAGTTTTAGATCCTCCTGTTTGCTCACCTGTGTACATAAATTGGTAGCAATGTAGAAAACCATACATACATTTTTTTTCTCCTTTTGTTTTTCCTAGACGCTAGTAATGACATGCAGAAGGAAAGTAATTTGAAAGAACTCCTTAAAGAATTGCCTGATGCTCATTACTGCCTGCTGAAGTATCTGTGCCGGTTCCTGACAAAAGTTGCTGAACATCATGTAGAGAACAGGATGAATCTTTGCAATCTTGCTACTGTTTTTGGACCAAACTGCTTTCAGTAAGTTGGCAGGGTTTTCACTTTTCCTCTGATGTTGGCTGAGCGTACTGTAGAGCAAATCACCAGAAAGGTAGCTCAGAAAACTAGTTGTTCAGGATGATTAAGCAAAGGCAGAAAAAGAAAATACCAAATATGCAAATATGCAATCGTGGTTGTTCAGGATGATTAAAAAGATAGGACTTTTGTGGTAACTTTAGGAGTAGGTTTATTGTCTGAGCTGAATGAGAGGTAAGTTGCTCTCCCCTCTCCTCTTGTAATACTGCTAAATGGTTACTCCTGCTGTGTTTATAGCAGAGCAGGAGTACACAATGAAAGACAGTCAGACTGCATGAGGGCAAGGAGACTTGTGCTTACACAGCTTTCTCCCTTGGCTATCAGGTAATATGAATGCTTCTCTACAGAAGGCTTTGAGAAAGGGTATTTGGGGGATAAGCACTCAGGTGCAGCACCTAGGTGCTGGATAATTTCCAGAGATGATGCTGCATGCTCCCTGTAGATTTAGCTTCTAATGATCCAGGGTCTGTCCTCCAGATGCCAATCATTCTGGACTTTTTTTTTATCTTTCTACTATATTTAGAAACTGATTTGGAGGTTTTGGGGTTCAGTTGGCCTTCTGAGGCTTCCTGCAGAATTCACTAGTCTTATTAGTTTCTTTCTTCTGGCCCAGTTTCTTGTTTCTTGTGGTGAAGAAAACACACTGTTCATGCTGCTGGGGGTTGTAGCAATAGTGAGGAGAGTTAGTTCCAGATGCAAGAATGCTCTCGTGCAAGTATATTCTTTTTGAGGCAATTCTGTGAGGTGGTGCGCTGTTAGCATCTTCATCCCCATCTTGCCTGTAGTTCACCCGCTGACAGGCATCCAAGTTCTAAGACAATAATATGGGAGACATGCAGAGGAGTTTAGCTCACAGTCATCAGTCTTGAAAGATACATGATACTAGCAAAAAGAGAGAGGTTAGTTCCTTGTAGCAAATGTCTGATCTGTACTGATCCTTGTAAAATTTCTCTCTGGAATAATACTGATTGCTGCGTTGCCTAATGAGACTTAGATTAGATTAATTGCCTAATGAGACTTAGATTAGATTAATTGCCTTAATTGCCTAATCTCCCTAGGCCTCCTCTATAGCTAGTGGAAAGAAATATGCCTCTTCAAAGAGAGAAAACGAAAGATGAATTTAGCTTCCTTGTAATGTATTGAGCCAGTTCCACATACCTAACTTAGATGCTGCTTGCTCTCTTTCTTAAAGAAGTGCATCTTTTTCAATTGATTAAGGAGAGAACCTGCAGAGATGAGAAGTGCAAAGCAAAGCTAGTCCTTGTGACTACACCACAGCCTCCTGTTAAGATGTTGTTCATGGATGGTGAAGGTGAATATGCCAAGATACAAGCATTAAAACATTTGCTGTGTTAATAAGAAAACATGAAAAATACTGTATGGAAAATTTTTTCCTCCCCTCCAAGAGAAAGAAAACTCACAGCAGTATTTGCAGGAGCACATGAATAAGAGTGTGCAAACACAGCAATGCAAATTCCTGACAAGGAAAAGCAAAACAATTTTCAGAGATTACATTTGTATGAGCAGTTTTATTTATATGGTGAGGTTTTAAAGTTTAGGAGTTACTGTCTCTTAGTGGAATCAAGAATAAACAAATTAAATTACAGGAATTTGAGGTCCAATGGCTTAATTTTTGTGATTCTAACTCCCAAGTCACTGTTCGAGTAATTTTAGTTTACTCGTCACTTGGTCCAAGGAAAGTTTTGGAAGTTAGCTCTGCATACGTTTTGGTGTAGATTGCAGAGGGTTGCAGTTTGGAAATGCAAATGGCGTTAAATCAAAGCATAGTACATGAAAGCTGCATAGTTATCTCTGCTGACTTCTGTTCATAAGATGGCATAGAAAACACTTAACAGTTTGTATAACCTGTAGGGCCTTTGGGTGAGAGGGAAAAAATCACATTGTTCCATCATGGAAGACTAAGAAAGGCAGAGTTCAGTGCAGGTGAAGACCTAAGGCCTCTTGTGGGTGTATATGAAAGCAGCTATCCCTGCAGTTGTGACAGACATTTCAAACTCCTGTAACAAAAGAGGCAATGAAAGCAAGATTTGACATTTAACAGATGACTAATTTTTTTATTTTTAATGAGACTCAAGTGTGTCCAAGTGATATATGTGGATTTTTGTTTAAGCTAAATTTCACCCCATGAGCTTTTCAAGGTAATCTAGGATTATGATCTAGACAAAAAAAAATGTGAGCAACAGTTTAAATACTCTTTCCTTCTGTTTAAATGGATGCAGTCATAACTTGGTGGAATTGTGACTGTCTCGATCAGCAAAGATTTGACAGGAGGAGTAAAGAATTTGCAGCACCCACCATTAAACATTGGGCTTAGCCAACTGATTAGCCAACCAGCTAGAGAAAGATCTTCAGAATGTTATTTGGAGCTCCAGAGTAAGGCTGTCTGAAGCCTCCTTTGGTGAGGGCTGTCTTGCTACTGACTACAGGCAGCTCCTAGACCAAACATTTCTCTCACTTTTCATTGTTAGTTCAGAGCAGCAGATGGGGTGTTGCTGCAGGACAAGGAAAGGAGGCTTAGCAGTGAACTTGTCAGCAATTACACTGAAATAGGAAATTCTGAGATTTTTTTCTTGTCAAAAATTCACACTGATGTCCAAAATCAGTGTCTGTGTAATTAATGTGTACAGTGAAAGAAGATAAAGCCCATCCCCTGATAGTGAAGGATTGCTTTCTGCAAGGTATTTTTAGTGACATTTTAGCTGTTTAAACATATTATCTCCTACTCCATCACTAAAGCGGTTTTAGAATTGAATACATCTCTCTGGGCAACTTTCCAGGCATTTAGACTTCATTTTAATTTTCTTCATCTCGTTCCATTTCTCTGCTTCCTGTTCTCAGTAGTTTGTCTCATTTTCCAGCCTTTAAACCCTTATTACTTTTATCTTGTCCACTACTTCCCCTGCTTCCTTACTTGCAGTTTGTCAAATCATACTGGTGATCTTCTAAAGAAAGAGTTTATTTTATGCTTTCTATTTTTATAAGGAATAGAAGAGGTGAGAAAAATGGCTATTTGCACTCCTTGTAATGAAGTGTGATGTGAGATGTAGGAAAATGTACAGGACAAGGGAAAACAGCTCAAAAAAGGGAAGATATGATGATTTGAGATTTGGTGCAATCTCCTTTCACCTTAAATTTGTTAAGATTTATTGTGATGGAAGCCAAAGGTCAAGTGTATAGAGAAATACAGCCCTTGAGAAACAACAAGCATGGAGTTATCAAACATGAATAATGTTTGACTTTTCTGTTACTGGGCTAGCGTGTGTGGAGGATTAACGCCTCCACCATGGTTATTCCTGGAGAAAGTTAATGTCCATTGATCTGAATTTCAGCTTCTGTGAAGCTGTATCCATAGTCATGGCCTGCTGTACATCTCCATTCAGCTCTCACAGCTTGTCTTGAAGAAGTGTAGGACCAGTGTCTGCTGTCTCTCCTTTCTGCTGTCTTGGAGCTGCGTGTCAGAGGAGTAGCTGACCTCTTCCTGTCCTTTGGCTTGGATGAGAAAAGATGTGAGATCCACTAGTTACAAAGTAGGTAGAGGCTCTCTTTGCACCCTTTTTTTCCAACTCTCTCTCTAAGGTTTATCTGGTTGTGTGTACCTGCCATGGTTTGAGCCCTCACGAACCTGACTGTGTTTCGTTCCAGCAGAGATTAACCATGTTGTGAGGGTTTGTTGTTTACCCCCAAAAGGAGCTGGCAAATGTAAGTGTCCAGTTAAAATGCTGGTGTTTGCTGTCCAGCAGTTCCAGTTAAATGAGGCCCAGGAGGCCTTGTTAGTTTGGGATCTAAAGAGAGAAGCAGGTTTAGCAATGAGAGGCTTTTCCTTGAGCTCTCCCTGTGGAGTTCACGTATTTTCTCCAGCCAGTTATCCTCCAGGCCCTATGCTCTGATCAGGGAGGGAGGAGGATCACACAGCACATCTTGTGGAGCTGCTACCAAAGTCACAATTCTGGGGAGCGGCTGTGCTTTGTGGGGTTCTTCTCTCTGCAGGAGGATTAACACCAGAGTGAATTTTTTCTCCAAAGGAATGCAACTAAAATGTGTTGCTACCAGCAAGGGGAAGTTCAGTGAGGGGCAGTGTTGCTCCTTTGGGGTGGTGGGCTTATAAGTCAAAGGACTCTGCTTTGATGGCAGGATGCCTTTCCAGTACAAGCATTCACAGCAGCAGAGAGTCTTTTTATCCTCCAGAGTCTTCTATGAGAGGAAGACCAAAAGGAAGATCTTTATAAATCTACCCAGGTCTTCCACATGCTTCTCATGGGTGTTTCATGCAGCCAGCTGCTCTTTGGCCTGGCACAGGTCTGATTTTTATTGGTGGGAGCCATCAAGTCCGTTGTGCCGCTAAGGAGCAAATTGCAGCGTAAACAGCAGGTTCCTCTCTCTTTCCAATTCCCTTTTGGGAGCCGCTTTGGAGAAGTGGATGATGTAGCTGTGATGCTGAAGGCAAGTTCAAGAATAAGTTAAGCTTTGCAGTGTGATGTTAATTGAATTTTATCTCCTTTGATGAATAAGGCCAAATTCCTATTGATGCCAACCACTGAATGCATTTTCCTGTATTTAAAAGGTCAACACTGGTGCAGCTGCATCTGTGATTGAATAAGGTTGAACCAGGCTTCCAAGCTGTAGCAATGTGGATTTTATTTGCTGATTAGTAGAACCGAACGGGAGGCCAGACAGGTAAAGCCAAAAAACTCATTGAAATTTGGTATTGCAAAGCAAATATTTGGAATGGATGTATTTTGAATTAGTGTAGTACAGGATTTATTTCAGCAGTGCTAATTTGAATGCTCAGTTGTTTGTGACGCATCTCTAGATCGTCACTCATCTCCATGTTTGTAATTAGTCTTGGAAAATTTGTGCCATGCAGCAGTGGCCTGAACTCGTTAGACTTTGCAGCCTCAACTCCAGCCTCCTTGAGTTATGTAAAT